AGGACTCATCCAAGCAGTCACTGCAGAGTCGGTAACGACCGAGCGCAGATTAAAAAAAAATAAAAAAAATCCAGGACTGGTTTCCAGATACCAGTCTCAGGATGCAAAGCAGGGAAATTGGGCATTGCAGAGATTGTTTTAGTCTGCATTTTTTTTTCTTCCTTTTGAGAGAGTCACCTTAAATTGAGGGTTTCTTTCCTCTGAGGTCAACCCAATATGATTAGAATTCCAGAATTACAAGAACTGAATGAAAGTCACAATTATTTCTCATCTGAATCACTACCAGTTATCCCAAGCTTTCTTCATTTCAGCAGTACAACTGAGATAGGGAGAGGGAATCGTTTTGTTGCTGCTATGGATAAAATAGCTGGAACAATATACTGTAACCATATCTACTAATGCAATTAAAATTGCTCTTTAAAATCCCATTGTAGGATATCTAAATGCCAGAAAAAAAAATCCTCTGATTATATAACCTTTGGCTGTGGTATCTGGGCTGCAAAAATGTGAACAAACATTAGATGGTAGCAAATAGTTTCTGCATCTTTTTTGCTGTTGTCAAGTGGTCATTCAGATTTTTGCAGCCTAGTAATGCTAGACTAATCATGTAGCCCGTGATCTACTCCACAGCCTGTTTCCCTTGTTGCTATTTCACACTGTATATTTTATTTATATAGCACCATTCTTTGATGGACATGTATCAGTATACAATTAATAAATTAAGCATTCATTTTTCCTTTCAAACCATTTTACGATAGCTGCTATTTGAAAATAGTGACCTAGTAGCATTGTAACTGTTACCAGTTAAAGATGAAGAACTTCTTTTTTGACCTCTGTCAGATATTTACAGAGAGGAAATCTGTATCAACTGTATTAATTAACTAGTGGATAAAGGATGCAGATTTAAAGTATCTTGAGTGTTGGTTTTTCCTGACATTAAGGGTGGATGGACTCAATTACAGCAGCAATGGGTGCAGTGTTGGAAAACCTGAAACACCAGGGCGGGGACGGATCATCTTGGGGAAAATCTATGAAGTCACCAAGAGTTGACATCAACTTAATGGTACATAATAATAATTAAAAAATCAACATAATGTTATCTGCCATGGCTATTTTTGCTTAACTATAATTGTATGGCTAGCCCAGATGAGACTGAAATTATTATAAGGGCTTTCTTCTCCATTCGGTGGATAGAGATGGAGATATTAACGTGTGTCTCCTTCCCTTCAGAGTGTTGGTGCTGCTCTGCATCAGGAAAAAAAGAGCAGATCGTGCACACAGCTTTTCTGCTCAGGTGGTCAGTGAAGTTCCCCTGGAGCAGCTGAGTGGAAAGGAACCTGCAGACCATATCTGGTCTGACCCCAAAGTCTTTCTTTTTATGGCTCTGCAGGACACACCTGTGATGAATTTTAAACTCTATCTTGATAGAGATAGAGTTCATTGTCAGTTCCAGTGATTATTTGTACTTGGTTGAACACTTCTGCAAACAATTTTGATAGCAGCCCTGGAAGGGAAATTGCCTGAAAACTCTAAAGGTATACTTGCTTGTATGTATGTGGGAAGGGGGAATCCCTTTCTCTGCTGGTTGAACAGCATTGTTGAACTAAAGCTGATTTAAGAGACTCAAGTGTGGTCTAGTCTCCAGAGAACAGATCGTTTGCTTTTGCGTGCGCCGTGAGAAGCCAGTGGTGCAGGTAAGTATGTAATTAAGGGCTTATTTAAAATTGAGATTCTTTTACACCAGTCTGCTGTATGCTCACAAGGAATAATAACCCACAGAGAGTTTACACACCCCTTGTACTGTGTTTTGGCCTCTGTAAGTACTCTACTTTCCAGATTATTCTTGGTTCATGTTACCAATTATCTGGTTTGTCTGTGTGCCACACGCATGGAGCCAGGCCTGACTTTGCTGGTCCTAGCCAAGATTATAGGGAACATGTAACAAATATATCAGTATGCTCAGTAGCCCTCCTTGAAGTTAATACATTATAAACTACATTTAAATTGGTTTTATCACACTGAAAATATTTCAGTATAAAAACACCAATGCTAAGAGCATTAGTCTTTGCATTTATGCTGTTTGCTAAATTGAGAAGTATCTGTTTCGACAACCTTACAGTTGCTTAAGGTGGCACATACAAAAGGCTGCCATAAAGGTTTTTGAAGCACTTCCGATTATTTTTATTTAGAAAACTACATTACACTTAGTCCCTATTGACTTCAGTGAAAAAAATCATAACACTTGTTAATTTCATAATGATGCACAAATTAGTTGAAATGTAATCAGCTGTTTCTGGAAGCGATTAAAGAAAGTTGGTTCAATAAAAGTAGACATTCCATAGTCCAAGAATTGCTTTAATGTTTCATAATCATGCAAAGGACTCCTGGTATGTGTTTTTGGGCGAGCTTTAACTTGTTTTCCTCTAGCTACATAAGCAGCGTATCCTAATCTTGAATACACCATTTCCTTCCAAGGCAAGTTAGGACGTGATCTCCCCCCACCTCTTTCCTAGTATACCCTCCCTTTCCTTCTATGCAAATAGTTCATTACTATTTCGCGCCACTGATATAGGTCCTTGAAGCACGATAAACGTCCATGCTAAACTTGTAAAGGAAAAAACGCTGGCCAATTTCCACAGTCTTTTCTACTTTTTCTACATATTGTCTTCACGTCTATTCGGAAACTATATTTTCTATGATCAAGCGGCGTATCGAAAAGCAACGTCTGGGAAGAGCAAGGGACATACCTTCCAGGACCATAGCACTTTCGCGGGAAAACCGTTTCCAATCCCCGCCTCCGGCGAATTCCGAGTGGCTTTGGCGCGAGTCTGCGGCGTGTGGTTCTCTTCGGTGACTCATGGGACGCTTGCGGTGCTCAACGCGGGGTAAATCAGCCGGCGGTATGGACCCCTTCCGCTTGCAGGTGAGCGCCTTGGCCGCAGTGTAGGACTGTCCTGTATGCATTTACTTTTTACTTTGGAGTAAGTTCTAGTCAAGTCCGTGCAAGTGACTTCCAAACTAATATTCGTAGGATTGGGTTGCTGGGGAAGACAGGCGGTGAAGCTAACCGCTCCCTCGGAGTTTACAAAGACCCGGAGGTTAGAGCTACGTACCGAGTGGGGAAAAGCCCTGTAGATGTTGGAATGGGAACGAATTGGGGAGGTAAATGTAAGCTTTGCAACACGGAGACTTTTGCTCGTGGCGATCCTTGGACGCTTCAAATTTAAGCAAGTATATTTAGAATTGTCTCCATGCAGTCATTGCTCTGCATTTTTATTCCGTGGTTAGCACCTTTTGTACTGAGCGAGCGATCTTTCCTTCCTTTAAGCGGACGTACGCTTGCAGCCTTAAGCCACCGCGCGAAATTGTTTGGGTTAAATACTCTTGAAAAGTCAGCCGCGTTTGGAAATGGGTGATGCTACGTGCTCTTCCACGTGGAAGCTTCCGTTGTATAAATGCAGTACGTTTTTCTTTTGGGGAGGGGGAGTGCTGCCGAAGTAAACGAGGGAGGAACTTCTGAAAGGCAAAAGTCATGCTTCATGAAAGAAATGACTTCCCGCGATTCCTTTTGGGGTCTGGAAACATGGCGTAAAGCGGTCAGGGCCGGCTCAGCTTTGGGCGGTTTACACACCCGCGGGGCTGCTGTTTTTTGTTTCCCAGATCGCCAGGCACCAGGCAGTAATCCTTTGTTTCTCCGCCAGTCTCCCCCAAATATTTTCCCTCCCAAAACTTGCTCCCCTAGTTCTCCTGGCAAAGAAAACAAAGCAAGCCAGGAGTCTTCACTGCAGGTAAATTTCGCCTCCTGGGCGCTTCTCTTGCTCTCAGAGAGGGAGAAGGAGGTTGGAGAGGTGGCGGTGAGGACGAGCCCTTGTTTCTCCCGCGCTTGAATGTTCACCTCTTCAAGTTTGGTCACGGCTCCCCCTCCCTGCCTCTCCTCCGCCCTTCCTCTGGTCTAGGGCTTGCGGTCGGGCTGAGTTTTCATTCCTTGAGTGGCTTCAGCGCCAAGGCTGGTGCAGCGAAGCCGAACAGCCCGCCTCTGGCCGCTTAGTTTGAGCATCCCGCGAAAAGAGGTGGAGGGAGCCTAAGTGTTTCCTCTGAGAAGGAACTCACGGCACGCATGGTAGACTCGCCTACGTCCTTTGTGTCGCTGCAGGAAGGGGCTGAAGAGGGTTTTGCGTGTAGATTACCAGCTCCTGGATGAAAGCTAGGATATAAATCCAATAAAGAATCAGACATACGGTTGCCTCATGTTCAAATACAGAGTGCCCCTTTCAAGAAGGTCGTTTTTAAGTTTGGTAGTCTCTCCCCCATCCTTTAATCCCAGATTTATGTTTGTGGGACATAATTTTGCCAGTAGTAGAATTGTGAGTGAAAGATTGTTGTGTTCTCCAGTGGTAGGAAAAGGCAAGGATTGGGAAAGGAGCAGAAATGCCCTAGGCCTAGAGAGCAGTATGGAGAAATCTGTAGTTTTTAGTCAGTCTCAGAATGGAGGCTGCAGGTTGATGGCATTCCTGTACAGTATTGTAGTCGCAAATAGGTGTTGTGGTTTACACCTATTAAAGACACTTGCCTGTCTTTGCCTACAAATAGGTCAGTTGAATATTGACTCAGATAAACCTTTAACAGATCTTTCTCCACTTTTGAATTGATTTGTTCCTGAAAACCTTTTTAGGTTCATTTTTTTCTTAGCCCATTTAGCTTGAAAAACAACAGCTTTGTTTTTCCCTTCAGTATTCTCAGGGCTGTGTAAATGGTGACCTCCCAGTCATTTTATTCTCAAACCAACAGTGTGAGGTGGGTTAGCCTGAGTTCAAAGACATCCGGGAAACATGATTTAGTGGGTCTCAGTTGTCTTAATCTGACACTGCCATGTTTTTCCTCTGGATTGGCCTGTACCTGATTGTCAGCTTATTTATTCACAGGCCTTCTAAAGTAAATGAGCCAGACTTTGGGGGAGAATGTTAGAGTGACAGAATTATAGCATAATTTAGTTATCTCATTACCTTTTTGGCATTATTGTTACCGTAAAAGTGTATGTTGTGGATTCTGCCAATAATAGCAATTTGACAGTTGCCACTTTTTTTTAAGCTAAGAGTGTTTTCCCCCCCATCCTTTTCTCCTGTTTGTTTGTTTTCAAATACTAATATGCTGCCTACTCGTAATGACTCAATACAATATCCATAAAATTTACTGATAAAAAACTCCATTTTGGAGAACAGTTCTGCATTTATAAAGCCTTTCATTTTTTATAAAGCCTTTCATTTCTAACAGCCATCTAATTCAGACACTTCCAATTAACTTTTATTTGCCCTTTTACAGTACCTATTTTTTTCAGAAGCAAGTTCCACTGTATTTATTGGAACTTACTGCTACTTGAGGAAGGGAAATCTATACACTTCCAGTTGGGATAGAGTGATAAAGTGGCTTCATATGGGTGAAAAGGTATTTGGGGCAGAAAATTTGTATGATTTTTTGCAAAAATACTTTGACATATCTGAAGTCTGCCTATATATGGGGCATATTTCATTTCATCTTAATAATAGTACTTTACTTCTGACAAACCTTTTAGTTTGCCATAAATCACTTGTAACAAGAGTCACCAAATTAGTTGTATGATTATGTAATCCCAGCCTGGATCTTGTTTTTGAAAGACCATTGCTAAATCTGAATTATTTAGGTTTGTGGTAATGTAGCGACAAGAATGGGTGAGCTGATCAAAAATGCATGGCTGCCATTTACTGAAACCATCATGTCAATTGGCCGTAGCCAAAATAGGGCTAACAATTTTGCAATGCTATCTTAGTTTTAAACTGATACTATAAAAGAACGTTGCATTTTAGTTAAATTTTATCTGGAACTATTGCCTTACTGTATGTTGTCGATGAGTAAAAGCCCATTAAACTGTAGTACATGTCTCAAGATTTATATTGCTTGCAAATATGTATAATTTGTCATTAGTTAGTGAAATTGTCCCTTAATAAATTATGCTTAATTGTTTTGCTAGAGTGGCACAAAATATGATGGAAGTCTCATTTTTCTGATTAATGTGTATTTCAATCTAGTCTATAACCAACTAGATAGCTTAGCTTCATGAGGTCAGCCTAAAAAAAAACACCTTATTATAGTAACTAATTGAGTTGTCATTGTCCATTTTACAGGGCAACCTTTCAGGGAAGAAAAAATCCACGGCATTCCGTAGTACTCGACTAATCCCTATGGAAACCTCTTCGTCCTCTGATGATAGCTGTGACAGTTTTGGCTCTGATAATTTTGCAAACACAGTAAGTAAAAAGTGCAAGAATAAACAGAAATTGAATGTGTGATGTTCAGAAATACCCCATTTGTGATTAAAATGCTTTGCTTACATTTCTGTACAGCAGTTATGAATATACAGTATGAACTCTAATTTCATTTCACTTCTTCCCTTGTGCTGCTAGGTAGTAATTGTTGGAGGTAGATTAGCCCCTTACTCTATCCTTTTGAAATGTCGCCTAACCTAACATGCCTGATGATTTGCCATAAAAGCTCTGAAACCATTTGTAAACCTCCTGAACCATTTTTCTTTGTTACAAAAGCTATTCTCTTGTAGTGCACTTGTACAATGTGATTTGCTCTCAGAACAGTTTATGGAAAATAGCTTCTCATTAAAAAAGAGAGAGAGAGAGAGAAAGAAAGAGAAACACATAGTGTACTTATTCTTTTTAAGAAACCAACCTTCAAGCCAGAAGTTGTAGAAGAAATGGCTAAAATATTTTATGAGGATTCAGATGAAGAATCTTTCTGTGGTTTTTCAGAAAGTGAGATTCAAGATGTGCTGGTGAGTTGAGCATTTAAAGTTGCTAATTACTGTTGTCCTGATTTTGCACACTGAAGTAGACCAAGTTCCTTCAACTTCCATAGTCTGAAAAATAGTTCCTTTGATTGAGAGCCAGCAAGGTTGCTCACAGAATCAGTCTCTTTGCATGTGGAGATTGAATTTTAGTCCTCTTGTATAAGATTGGAGCTTCTTTTCAATAGAGTGGTATATTGTGTAATCAAAAAGGGATAATATTCTTAGTGGTACGGAAATAGCTCTTTTGCTCACACGTAAGCTGGCAAATGAACCTCAAATAATGTAAACTTATATAGATACATCTCCATTTGAAAAAGTGCTATGCAAAACAAAGCTACAAAAGAAAGCTGATTAAAAATAAAATGGTAGAATAACATTATGGCTAGCATACATTTTCTGAAGTAATAATTACCTTAGGGGAAAATAGATACTTTAATATGCTCTCCAAATGTGAGCAGTGAAGTGCCTTGCTGGCTTTTAGCAGAAGAGAGCTGAAAAAGTGGGAAGGAAGAATGAAGGAGGCCATGTTTGCTAAAAAGATCCTATAAAGAAAAGCTCTTCTAAGCTTTCCTTAACCTGACACTTGCCCTTCCCAAGATCTATGCTTGTAATAATAACTTCTGGTTTGAAAAGCTGAAAGACAGCCAGGTACTTAAATGTCCCTCAGTGACTAGGACCAGATGTGAACAGTTCCTACAAGTATTCTTCAGTCTGCTTGGTATCCTTCTTGTGTCATTTTTTTCCCTTGTTCCCCTCTTTTTTTTTTTCTTTTCAGTGTTTCTAGGCTTTCCCTCCCCCATCTTTTTAGGCAAGAATCTAACAGACCCTAGTATATTTAGTAGAGCTGTGAAGACACTTCCTAATGACTTTCTCAGGCATGGCAAAGCTTTGAAGAGTGGGGCTTGACAACTAGTAGATCTTGTAAGAAGCTTCTGCTTGATGTGTTTGCCACATATAAGGCAGGAAGCTCCTAGAATTGTTTTAGAAAAATAGTGCTATTTTATGTGCAGCTGGTTAAGTGTTCCAATGGGGCCTCTAGAAGGAGAATAGCATATAATTTGACATTACAGCAGTATCTTTCAGTGCAATTTTTCTTTAATTCTTCCAAGTCAAGAGTAAAGTTCAACAACTGAATGTAAAAGGAAGAGGAAGTGGTTTAATTAAGATAATCTATAATACCTGTGCTCTGATGGTAGTTTTAAATTGTTGGTGGAGAACCTGTAGCCCTAGGTGTTGCTGAACTATAGCTTTTAGCAGTTCTGGCTAGTAAGAGCAGTGATAAAGAGTTGTAGTTCAAGAATGTTGAGTGAGCCACAGGTTTTCCACCATTTGATCTGGTATAGTCCCATAAACTGTTGAGACTGTCAGTTTAACTGTACAAGTGGCTTACTATATTTTATTTATTTATGTATTTATTTGCATAGAAACTGGGGACAGACTCTGAAGAAGATGCAGAGAAATGTTTACGTAAATTGCCCAAGAAAAGTTCTGTTCCCCTTAAAGTTGCCCTGAAGTTCCCATTACGAAGGTCGAAGAGGGGGAAGAGTGGAATAGTTCCAGCTTCAGAACCTTCCTGTAAATTGGATTCAGAGTCAGAATCTGATGAAGAAAGAGGCCCCAAATTCTTGGAGAGAAGAGCTTTAAATATAAAGGAGAACAAAGCCATGGTAAACATAAAAGAAAGTCCTCAAGAATCTCTTTTTTCTCAATGGTGAATTAATGTTGTGGCTCCTGTTTCATTAATAAAAACATGTTCCGCTTCTTAATAATGCTTCATTAAATATTTTAATGCTACTTGATTTATTATCAACTTCAGACAGTTTAAAAAGGTATTCAAAACTATATAGGCATTTTGACTCTAATTCCTTCAATGTTGCCTGTCTTTCCCATTTAAATAGGAAGGTGTAGAATACTTTCTGAAATAATCTGAAACAATTAGAGAAGCAGATATAATGGCCTGTTCTGTACTATGCACTGTACTATCATAAGGGTTTTGATCACTATAGGCTTTTTTGTGTGCCTCTTCGGTAGTCTCATCAGCTCTATAAGTACTCTTTGTGTTGTGTTTCTGAATAAATGCCTACACAGTTTCTGTAATAATGCATTCTGCTGTCTGAATCTTGAGACTCCATTACTTGTTTTCTGTTCTTCATTTGCAGCTTGCAAAACTAATGGCAGAATTAAAAGGCGTGCCTGGAATTTTTACTGAGAGAAGTCCACTAGCTACTCCTTCTCTGGTAAATTACACTTATGTACTTTATTAATTTCCTGGTTTACTTCATAAGTATCCAGAAAGTATTATTACTGTGTTTTTTTCAAGCCTGTTTATAGATGAACTTAGAACAAATAAAATCCAGTTCCTTATTATACTATAAAATAGTTGCCATGTGTTGTGGTTACCTTTTGATTTGTCAATCTGTAAAGTGCTCAGTGCTCAGTTAGACATACCAGGAAGTTTTTAAACCTAAAACTAATAAAGCAAGTCTTTTTTTTTTTAAACAAGCACACGCAAGTCTAAGTCTCAGAGTTCAAATCCAGATCTTGCTTAACCAAAGTCCCTGATTAGCAAAACATGCTAAACAAAGCACAGGTGGATGCTTGTTAGCTCACCATACCTTCTTGTGAGAGGAACCAGCCAGCACAATCTGAGCAGTGTCAGTGCTACCATATGTCTTCATTTCCTGCAAAGTTGTACTATGATTTAGCATTTTAGTGGTCTTATTGGGCCATACTAAAGAAGTTTTAACTATGGCTTTTTATAGTGTATAAGTTGATGAACAATAAATACTACTGCAGTATTCTAGAAGTAGTTGCACCAAAAGAGTATTGAGTAGATGAAAACAGTTTTACAGCATACTTTGTTTCTGTTAATTTGGCTAGATTATATTTGAGTGCTGTGACTCATTAGAGCTGTAGGTGACCATCTTATGAGCCCTTATCTGAGAGTAAGTTTCCGTAGTTTAAATTTGGAAAGGAGTAAATTGCTATTGTTGGAGGAAATGTAGCTTATAAATTATTTAAGGTTACAATTCTGTGTGACATGGCCATGTTACCTTTATCTTCATCCAAGAAAGCCCAGCGTTGTCCAAGGAAATCAGTTCCCAGAAGTGCTCTAAGGAGAAATCCAGAAAGAAGCTCTAGGCCTCACACAAGGTCCAGGTCCCTAATTGAAGGTCCTCCAAATCCCATGCCTATGGAAGAGGAGGAGGAGGATCCCTATGTGTTAGTGAGAAGGAAGATGTCTGATGATTTTTCTGAGGTATGTTGGTAATTTTATTTCAAGCAACCAAGTAAACTGATCAAAATATTTTAAATAGCCTGGGTGACTTAGATACAGTTTTCATATAAAATAAGCATATCTAGTCAGTGAGCAAGCCTGGACATAATTAAACTAACCCAATAGGTTCCTTTCATCTTTTACACTGATGCACAAGCTGTGGATATGGCCCATCAGAGCCTTGATTGCCAACACAGTTCAATAGCAAGATTTGCCATTGTTACTGGTCATATCTATTTTTTTAGAGCCCTTCAAAAATACAAGGCTGAGCACAGCCCTTGCCCTGAAAAGCTGGTTTGTCCTGATTGAAATGGGAACCCTTAAATTTATTTCAGAGATAAGCATCTTCAGAATTGGAAATGAAGGGGGAACAGCATACTTATTGAGCTAAAACCAAACAAATCACATTGATGCAGTATGTCATCCCAGACTTTGCTTAGGAAATGCAGTGACATTTCTACATAAATATTGCAGCACTTTGTAGAACTCTTCAATGACTTGCCTTAAAAAAACCCCACAACCTAACAGTACCATTTACTTCTGAATTCAGGATGAAAGGGACACTCCCAGAAGAAAGCGCATGGGTGCAATGACTCTTCCCCATGTTATCCGTCCAGTGGAAGAAATAACCAAGGAAGAGTTGGATAATATCTGTGATACTGTTAAAGATAAAGTTTACAACCGTGCAACAGTAAGATGACATTCTTACATTCTACATTCAGCCCTTTGGTTTGCTTTGTCCAAATAATGATATAGTGCATTCTTCTTGCTTTGATTCTCTCCTCCTTGGATCCTGATCCTACACTCTGATGTTTATATCTGATCCTGAGATTCCTACTGTTAGAGCCAAGGGAATCCTTGATCTCTAGCTCTCCAGTTAGTGGCTGTTCTACCTCTTACTGCATAATTGAGAAGCTCCACAATGAGGAAGTTTCTCAAGTTGATTCTTTGCAGTTATTAGATCAAAGAGAGGAGATCTGAGTTTATATACCTAGCCAAAGGCTGCTGTAAAGAGGATGATCTTTCTTGCTTCATGTAGATGTCACTAATCTTTGATGCATGACAATAATGGTTGAAGATTTGGATTGAGAAGATCCAGGTTCAAGTTTCCATTTGATTATGGGGTTGACTGGGTGACTTCAAGCCAATAACACCCTCAGTTCAACCTATTTCTCAAGATTGTTACTATGAAGATAAGAAGTCCTATCTAAGTACTTAAGTAACTTTCAAAGAGAAAGAGAAGGATGGAATTAGGAAGCCATTGAGTCTAATGGCTTTCATTTGCTACCATTACCTTTACATGCTTGTGAGAACTTTGAATGCAAAACATTTCTGCTTCCTCTTCCAGATTAAATGTGATGGTTCATATATAGTGGTAAAATGGAGGTTCACATATAGTGGCTTCATTGACAAACAGCAGTACATTCAAATTGTGAAGAACACTATTAGTTTATCTAGTTGAGGTGTAATGACATCTTATGGCTTGCTTCTAAACAAAGTGCTGAAGCAACTTGGTACTTAGATAAGCTTTACATGTATAAAATCTATGTTTTTTTCACAGAAATGTTCAGTGGCCATAATTCTAAGACATAAGGTAGTTTATTTGCTTTGGGCTTAGTGTGATGTGTGAACATGTGCATTATAGCTTAGCAATATGTGTAAACTAAGCCACTGTTTGTATGACAAACATACTAAAGGTTGTGCAAGGGTACAGTGTCTTTTCAAAGCAATCATCAACCTGGCATCTTTTGCCTTTACTGCTCTCTTTGACAGGGTTCTACCTGTCACCAGTGTCGTCAGAAAACGACAGATACTAAGACAAATTGTCGGAACCCAGAGTGTTTTGGAGTACGTGGCCAGTTCTGTGGGCCTTGTCTTCGTAATCGTTATGGAGAAGAAGTCAGGGTTGCCTTGTTGGATCCAGTAAGATTATTTTATTTTGATGTTTGCTTGAGTGCATGCTATAGTTCATAAGAAAACAGAAATACAGGTAGTCCTCATTTAGCGACTACAATTGGGACTGGCAATTGGGTTGCTAAGTGATGCGGACTAAGTGGAAAATCATGTGACTGAGACTGTACTTACAATTTTACTTCAGTCTTCCTTTTTCCGCACTCTCCTGCCTCTTGGAACACTCACCCTGGCGCTGGGATAATTAGCAAGAACGGAATTAATGTTTGTATTTACATTCATTGGAGAGGAAGGGATTACAAGAGAATAAGAGTGCACTAGGCAAGCAGATGGCGCTAGTGCATTCCTTTCAATCTGTATTCCCTGTTGTGTGCCTGCTTACTCTCTTGTAATCCCTTTCTCTCCAATCTCTCTGCTCTACGAAGGGGAGGGGGAAAAAGGTCAGACACAGAACAACGTGTACTAACTGACTAATGGTGAACACACGAATGAGAGAGATGCCGGGGAGATCATAAATGCACAACTTGGTCACAAAGTTTTTTTTTCAGCACTGTCGTAACTTTGAACAGTCACTGCACGAGGCAGTCGGTAAGCGAGATCTATATTATTTCAAATTCCCATTTAAAATTTAATATGACATGATTTCACTGATGCTGTAGCAGAATCACAACCTGATAGCAAGAAGATTTAAGTTGGATCTACCTATATTTCCTTCTCACTTTATTTTTTTTTCCTTTAGAACTGGCACTGCCCACCTTGCCGTGGGATCTGCAATTGTAGCTTCTGCCGGCAGCGAGAAGGAAGATGTGCTACTGGTGTCTTGGTTTACTTAGCCAAGTATCATGGATATGACAATGTCCATGCTTACTTGAAAAGGTAAGTTTTCATTTACTTCATGAATCTGATGGGATGTAGATACAAATTATTGGCAAGGATACATACATGCATTTATGAAGATCCAGGCTCAAACCAACAATGGGCAAATGGAGCAGGAAACAGACATTTCATGTTTACAACAATATTAAGATACTTGTTGATTGTCTTAATTTCACTTTGTATTTTTTCTCCCTTACAGTCTGAAACAAGAACTTGAAATGCAAGAATGAACTTCCGAAACAATTCCGGAATAATCTTCAGTACATATGCTTAGACTAATTGTCTGATTTGAGAATTCACTTCTTTTAATGGTTGGCATTTTTAAAAAATGGAACAAAAATTGTGACTTTTGACTGAAGTCCAAAGTTACAGGATGGAGGTTTATAATATTGTTAAAGCCTTCTTAGTCCTGTTTCATGATGAATATTACTGGATGTTATTAGCATCCCACGGAGCAGGTGCAGGTCTCATTCAACCCGTTGGATAGCAACAGCTTCATACAAAGGCTATAACTAACTAAAAGCAGTACTTGCCATTATAGTTCTCCTGAATTTCACTATGTGAGATTTTCTGGTGGCAGTTTGCACAGGTATTTTCTCCACGCAACTCTGAGTTCACGTTCATGTTGGAACTGCTACTGTCGCATTATCCTAACTATTGTTAGAATTAGCTGAATCCAATCTTTGTTTCCCCTTTTTCGGGAAAAAAGTATTTTGAGGGCATTCATTGAATCTATGTTTGCAGTTACCGTGTGTAAGTAGACTTGGTAATGAATCAAATTCTAATTTTTAAGGCTATTGAAAATAGCAGCAGTGATTGTCTAATATTGCAAAGCAACTTAAATGCTTGATAACTACTTTCTGGAAAGAAACAGTGATAAAGAACTTAATACTTAAGTTCAAAATTTTGACTAGTTGAGACAGTTTAAATCAATAACTGTAAAGTATACTTGATCAGTCGTGCTTAGGAGCAAGTTTTGTTGTGCGCAAAACAGTACTTATAATGAAAGCTTGACTAAAAGAGATTTGAGAAGATTCAGACTTCATGAAAAATTAGTGAACTATATGATCTTAAAGCATGCTGTCACTGAGATCTTGGTAAGGGATATTTAAAAAGAAGTATTACTTAGAGTTTGGGGAGACAGTTCCATTAGGGCTGCAAAAATCCAAAAATCACCAGCTGGAAGCAAGTCGATAAAGCAAACTCTCTCTTTGCTGCTATCCAGATATTTGCAGCCCAGTTCAAGTAATCCTAAATTATATTATTGACCAAATAATTTCACTTACCTAATACATAAAGCATCATGCCTTGCATTTTCTCAGAAATTATGAATTAAGAATAGGGATTAACATAATGGGCTAGTTTCTATGAGCAAGCCTTCCATCATACTTTATGCTGGAGATAGTCTTGCATCAACTGCACATTGGACTGTAAATGCAAGAGTTTGAGGTGGCAATTTGATAAGCCCTGTGCTTGTCTAAAGTAGTGACCATGAACAATACAGTTCCGTGAGTTGTAATGTAGACAAGATCCTAATTGGTGGTATTTCAAGCTGTGTTAGTTAATAAGGCATGGAGCTTATGCATCAATCACAGGTGGAGGCTGTAGCTTTCATTTACTAACTGGTAGTGTGTCTGCTTAAAATTAAAGTGCTGTGCTAAATGGATAAAAGACTATACTGAAAGTGCATTGGATATAAAATTCATCATCAGTGTGGAATAAGGTGCAAGAGAGGAAGTGAACAGATCTCTGAGTTGAGACCTTGTAAGAAGGAATCATTTTTACAGATTTCTCATGTATTACTCATATGCAACACCATTTGTAAGCAGTTCAATGCAATGTAAAATCTACATGAAATTAAGAATATCATCTCTCCCACACAGAGATTGGGTGTGGGTTTAATTTTTATAGCGTACATTTGAGAGAGAATCATTGGCTGTTTTGCTTTGCCTCTCTAATGGTGTTTTTACCCCCCTGTATTTCTTGAAGTACGAGGTTTAATGCTTGGACCTATATTCTCTTATTCTCTGCAGACTTGTTTTAAATATAGCAAAAGAGAATAACACTGTTCAAGTTCTTTCTCTAGGACAGTTTCATCAGTACTGTAACCTGATACTTTTTATGTATGAAATATAATTTTGATATTAAAGTTTGCTTAGCAGTGTGCTGTGTAGGCCAGGCTTCTTGTGCTTCCGTGTGTGCCACGGTCCCAGTTCATTTCAGCAGAGGGCACCAGTCTTTGGTGTAGGAAGTAGCACGCGTGATTCTGATCCTGTAAGAAAAGTGTTTGCAGATAGGGACAGTGCATGTTTGGGTTTTCCATGTTTAATTGTAATCAGTAGATCAGGACATTAACAGCAAGAGAACATAACTGTAGCAAAGAAATGGATTTAAAATAAATACTCTCCCCAGCCAATCCTTTAAGCAGCATAGTTATCTTTAATAATCTCTGCTTTGATGTTCATGTTTTAATGTTCTGCGGGCAGTCTTCCCCGTCCAGGGTATGGCCACACTGGCCTGGAGTTATCTAATGTATCTAGAGGGCATCAAATGCAGATAGCTGTGTTAGTTGGATAAAGAATATGAACTGTTCCTAAACTATTGAAAGGGGGGAGGAGTTGTGTTAGCCTACGTTAGCCAAAACTCAGGAGTGTGGTGCTGCCTTTTCAGACTAACACATTTTATTAGAAGGCATAAGCTTTTCTGAGCTACAGCATGCATAGAGTGCCTGGCAGCAAAGCCAATTGGCATGGACAGGATTTCTTATACCAGAAATAGTTTACAGATTAGAACGGAAAGCTTTGCTATGTATCTTTGCCTCCCGTAGACAGGATTTTTTTTTTTGTTAAAGTGAGCCTATAGTTTTACACTCCTATTCTGAACTTCCTAGTTGGATGTTCAGTTTTAAAAGCAGGTTCTACTGGGTGGGTTATGTTTTATATCCTGAAGTCTGCACTTGGGATAATCCCTAAATTGAAAACCCATACTGATTAGAGATGCCAGGAAATCCGCCAGCATATCTGTGAAGGCTGTACTATTTGCATCACAAAGCAAACTCTAGTCATTGTGAATGAATCTTGCTTTAATTCAAAAAGATCTATATCCACAACTTTACCCCATTTCCAAGGAAGATGTAATTAATCATTTGTACCTTACTTTTCATAGCAGCTTTCCATCTAAACCGATGTTATATAGGAAATTGCTTTTAAAATAAAATAACGACATTTTTGCCATAGTGTTGCACCACTCAAAGGGAGAGGGGAATTAAATTTACTGATCTGCCTGGCTCAGGCTGACTTAAGGTAGCCTTTAGATCCCTGCCTATATAACCAACATCAAAATTCATTTTCTTCCACTGTTTGTATTAAACATAGATTGCTGCTATAGTTAGTGATGGTTTTACTTTTTTTTATTGCATTTGCTATCTTTTATTTTATATCAAGGGATATAGATGGCCCTGTACCCCTTGACACCTGACATTTGTGTTCAGTTGTAATTATTAAGTGCCCATATAATACAAATATAGTAAACCCTGAAATTAAAGAAAAAATAGTCACTGGCACTGTGTATGGAAGAAAATAATTGTTTATGGCACACAGCTTAAGCTGTGCTGGTAATCACACTGAAAATACAATATTTATTCATTAGATCAAATTTAATGAAGCCTCCTGGCAGTAATTATAAAAATTACTGTAGCAGTAAATTACTAATGAGTTGTGATGTGCTTCCTACCTGTGAGGAAGGACTGGCGGTTGAAAAAGCCTGATATCCAAACAGTTTTTGGGCGTAGGAATCAACTTCATGGCAGCCCCGGAGAGGATGCAGGAGCGTAAAATCAAAATGGGAATGCTGAGAGATGGCTTGGAATGGCAGTTGAAATCGATGGAACTTGGATAAAAATGCTGGAGTGAAATGCACACTGCTTACATCTATAACTTGCAACAGGAACAGTTAATGGTTGGGATAGGTTTATTTAATAGTACTGGATAAAGCCTCACTAAAGCAAAAAAGCCAAGATGCTCTTCCTAGCTGAAGTCATACCTGTGCATCACCCTTTTATGTTACCAGGCTATGCAGATTGTAACTAAAATAACAATGAAGGAGTATACATGTCTGTGGCAAGGGAAGATAGGAAATCGGTAAAAGCAGGGCTGCTTGCTGGCATTCAAGGTGCCCTTGTGCAGAATTCCACTTAGCACCCCTCAAGACAATTTTTTAATATTCAGAATACTGAATCTCCTGTTTCTCAGATGGTCTCTTTATAGCTGTGCTGCATGGCTTTTGAATTTGAAATGTGTGCACACACACACTCCATGGCACACATTTTGTACACTTGGTTGCGGTGCCCTGCATAAAAGTATACAATTGGCCGGGAAAAGAAGATCGTGCTGAAAAGAAAGAATTCTGGGGCCAGCACCTCATCCGTTGTGAAGGTGCTCTATAATGTGGGCGCTGCAGTGGAGAAGACCCCTTATGTGCTTCATTGTCACATTTAAACAGTACTTGCTGAAGTCTTCCTCTGATTATAAAGCCTGCTGGCCAATTTGTTTACAGTGCTTTTGAACTTGTTCTACTTGTGTGGTTGTAATTGCATCCTTTATTTTTCTGGTGGATGGGCATTAATTGCTGACTGAATGCAGTGTGATACCAGCACAGGCCATAGCTGCCTCAGTACTACCTTAATCCATCCAGAAGGCTCTTCAGAAATGAACAAGCTGAAAATGAGACAGAACTTGCAACTTCATTTCCAGGTTATTTGGCAGTTCTGTATTTGTGGAGCAGATGATTTTGTTTCTCCGATCTGCAGAGCTGCATCCAGGGAAGAAGCCAACTCCGTCTGGACGAAAAGGCCAGAATTTTGGACTTCAAAATTTTCTCCAAGTTCTAATGTTTGTAAAGTGTACATAAAAGATGAGACGACCTTAAAAAAATAATAAAATGCATGTGTTTTGGGGGATGGTGAGTACATTGAAAAGTTCAACCAAAAGTTCAAGAATTTTCTATTTCTGCAAGGTGACTGCTGGAGGTAGGAGTTTACCCATTCACAAAATGACTGCCATAGGAATGTAACCGATTCCACAGCCCCAATTTCTCAGAATGCAATCTTCTTGCTGGATGTTTCCTCATACCTGTGGATCTTCCCTGCACAATTGCAAGCAAAGCATTTGGGCGTGGCCAATCATTGCACTTAATTCTAAAGTAAGCTTATTTGGCCTATTTGAAGCCTAGGGGCATGGAGCTGGGTGGGCACCCAGGAGGCTGCACCCGGCTGCTGTGTGCTAATCAGAATGTTGCCAAGGGAGGATCAAACAGCCATTCAGTACTATTAAAAAGAGAAGGACTTTCTAAAATCAGTCCAGATGTGTCTATCGGGCATAGTAGACAGACAAGGTTTATTTTCCATGTAAGGATTCCATCCGAGAAGCTGTGTATAGGCTGATAGTTGTTAACTCTAGTGGCCTATGGAATGCTAAGAGATTGTACTTGTGCATGTGGGAATGGCTTGACTGACACATGATCTCGACATCCTGCCTCTATGTTTAGCATGCTACCTGGGACTCTGCAGAGCATCAGGCTGGGAGAAAACAGAAGTGGAAGAGGAAAGTGATAGTTTTTCACTGGCTCAATCCATCTATGAAATAGCTTCCATCTCAAAGAGATCATCAGGTCTATCTTTTAATGAGGGTCACAGCTACCCTCCCTCCATCCCATACAACATAGTACTGATTGACTGCCTTCCTGCCCCAAAGCATCTCCTCAAGTACTTTGTACTTGCATCACATAAAAACAATGAACAACCAATTTAACAATGTAAAAGCAGTCATGAAAATCCTTAACCATCCATCCGTTGCTTCAGGCAGGAATTTAATGGGGACAGGACAATGACAGGGTGCTGGTCAGCCTAGTTACATATATTAGTGGCAAGTTAAAACAAATCACTCTGCTAAATTTTTCTGTGATGCTGTGACACTGCTGCCACAAAGGCTTTCAGTTTTCAATTTGTGACCCCACTTTTAGGCAATGCTGTAGATACATTCTACAGTCAAAAATCTTCAGCTGACAGGTACTCCCACAACCGTGTTTTAGAAGTAAACAGCTATGTAAGGTTCCTGCAGTTATAAGATGGTTTTCAATTAGCATTTACAGTCAAGAAACATTTTTAGTAATACAAGCGCATCTAAGTTTAGACTCTGATATTCTGGGATTGCTCCAGCGTGTTGTAAAACCACCTTTAGATGAATCATTTTCTAAGTCGTCCTCCACAACAATCCTACTCAGCTGAAGGGCACTAGATTGCAGAAAGCTGTAGGGATCATCCCAAGAAAGGCACCTTTTGTTTTGTTTTGAGGCACCATATCCTCTTTTGGCAGAGGATCCGATCCTCCGGTAAACCTGCATTAGATTGGTGAAGATCCATTCCTTGCAGGCAGAAGGAAAAAAATTAGCACCCCTCTGCAGTACCCCTAAATGACAGAGCAGAGCCGTTTTGATCACGGAAGAATCCCCTCCTTTATCCTGCTTCTG